GACACCGATCCCTTTGCATGTGCCAACTTCCCGGAGCCGCGCCGGGCCCCCACCTGCAGCCTGGACGGGGCGCTGCCCCTGGGCGCACAGATACCCGCGCTGCACCGCTTGCTGGGGGCGCCGCTCAAGGTGAGGGGCGCCTGAGAAAATATGGGGGCGATCGAGGGTTCAGGGTTGGTGCCATGAAAGTCTTTGGGAGGTGCCCCTCGGGGAGAGGCTGGAGCGGGTACGCTCCTCCGGGATACTTTGGGGCTGAGGACCAAGGTCCGCGCAGCCCTGCTTGCGGGAACGCCTCTCAGACTGAGGGGAAACTGAAGCAGGGAGAAGGGAGCTTGTGGTTTGCACCACCCAGGCTGCCCCTTAAAGTGAGGCCCCCCTGGGGAGGTGGTCGAGGGGAGAGGGTGCTCCTAGCTGCCCGTCTGCCTGGGTAACTGCTGTGGATTGGGTGGCGGTAGATGTTTGAGTGGTAGCGGACCCAGGAGGCGGAGCTGGGGGGGGGGTGTGGACCAGCCTTCACCTCACCTGAAGCGGGGGCGGAACTACGAGGCGGGGCGGGCCGCTATAGGTGGCCGAGGCTTCGAGCGGTTGCTGGAGGTTGGATTGGGTCCTGCTGTGTAGAGTGTTGCCCCTGCAGGTGGGGGTGGGGAGGTGGCTTGGAAGGAGGACAGACTTAACGGGGTGCGGGGAGTCCTCCAGAAGCAGCCCAGCCCGGGACTAGCCGAGCGCGGGAGGCTCCGCTGGTGGAAAAGCCCTTTGAGTCACCGCCCCCACCACCCGTACTCGCGCCGCCGCGGGCCAGCAGCTGGAAGGGAGGCGGCGGGCCGGGCTAATTTTAAACCGCCGGCCTGCTCTAGTTTGCCTGCGCCCCGGAACCGACTCGCGCACAATACCCGGGAAGGCCCTTTTCCAGATGGCGGGCCCTACCTCTCCTCCGGCTCGCCGAGCTCAGCCCCCCGCAGGCAGCCCTTTCCGGCGCGCGGGGTTTCCGGGCCAGGACTTTGGGAGGCCACTACCACCCCCCTGGCCGCCCCGCCAGCCAGTCCACACCGAGTGGTGCGGACGAGGAGAGAGAGTTGGTGGTGGTGCAATCCCCATCTCCTAGCTGGGTCGCCGAGTTGCGCAAACTTGCCCCCCGGGCTCGGGGTCTCCCTTGGAATGTGCCCCGGGCGCCAGGCCCCCCGGCCTGCATTCCTCGCGCTGCGGGCCAGCCCCGCCTCCGAGAATGGGCGGGAGAGGTGGTGGGACTATTGGCCTGGGGAATGGCACGTGTCCCTGAAAAAGCCCGGTATTCAAGGCCATGACTTGAAAGTGTCAGCACGCTGCCCATTCCAGAGTTTTGATGCAACATCTACCCCCCTCTCCACCCTCGGCCTGCTCTGTTGAAAGGGGCAAACAGGTGGGCCTGGAAGAAGTGCGTGTCCACCAGCGGGAGGCCACCTCCTATTCAGCTTGGGCGCTAGGGAGAGAGGGGTGCTGAACTGAGGCCAGGTTCCCGAAACGCCTGGAGTTCTACAGGGAACACAGTATTCCACCCACCACCACCCCTACTCTAGGACAGGACTTTCCAACTAGGGGCAGATTTGGGAGGACAGCTACAGGATAGAGGCTCTGCCCTCTGTTCTCTGCTCCCTAGCTGAGGACACTTCTGAACTCAGAGAATGTGTCATCTCTGCCAACTCAGTCCTTCCTCGCTTCCCCACTTTCAGGATCTCCCACCTGGTGTACTTGAGGGACTGTCATATCCTCCACAGGCAGGATATAGGGTGGACACCTGAGGCTACCACAGTGCCTAGAGCAGGACTCCCTGGGGCTGACAGCTCTGCCAGCAATGGTCAGATGCACTGTGATGTGCTCATCCCAAATATAAACTGTGACCACAGCCCCAGAATAGAAGGCCGGAGGAAGAAGGGCTCAGAATAGGGTAGGGTCAGGGACATCAGAGATCTGCGAGAGGGGGAGCAGGGCCCTTTTTTGCAAGAAATGTCAACAACTGGTTCCTTCCCTAGTCCTATAAGTGGGTGCCCCAGGGGCACAGACATGACTCAGGCCTGCCTTCATAGTCTCTAGAGGGGAGAGGTGACCCAGAAATCCAGGCGTCCCTGTGCAGGGCTGTACAGCAGAAATGAGGGAGGGGTTTTGTACTCCCTGCTTCATCCTCTGTACAGTTGTCCAGCAAAGGAACAGGACATAGCCAAGTCTGCCCTCCCAGTCTGGGCACTGACCCCCTCATCCCTGCAGACCCTGCCCACTTTCCCTCTGGGGCTCCACACCACACACCCCATTGAGTTCCCCTAGGGCTTCTTCCTTTTTAAAAGACTTGGAGCTTTCACACCACAGAGGGCCTTGCTCATTTCCTTTCAGTCTAGGAGGAAGCTCCTGGCCACAGCCTCTGACTCATCTCCTGGCCCTAAGTGGGGTGAGGCAGGGTCCTGGCAGTGCCTTCAGCCATGCCTGATGTCTCCAGGGAAACTCAGAAATATCTATCTTCCCTCTATTGCCAGAACCTCTCCCAGTCCAGGAACCTGCCCCCTGCACCAGGGGCAACCAGGCCCTCTGGCCCTACCGCTCACATCCTTACCCTCCCTACTACCTTTGCTCTTGGGATGGTGTCTCAGGAGCCCCTCCCTTACACCCAAAGGCCCTGCCACATCTGGGGTAGCACTGACTTCTCCCTGGGCTCTGAGCAGAGGGACCTGGGTGTTGCTCTGACCCTGATGTGAAGGCTAGAGGAACCCCCTACTCCTAGCAGCAGAGATGGCCCTAGAAATCTGTCCATTACCAGCAACTTTGTTTCCCCAGCTGTGGCTAAAGATTAGAGTAGGACAGGGGTGGCACTATCCTAGAATGTGTCCTCACCTTGCCTGCTCCTTGCTCTAGCCTCAGTCTACCCTTCAGAAGCAGGATAGGCTAGGAGGCTAAGCGTTAAACTGACATACTGGGACAGGGACCGATTGGAGGGGTCCCAGAGGATTCTTAAGGGTAAGAAGGCTCTGATGATGAACTGAGTCCTTTAGCCCCCTGATAGGGAGGTTCCTTTGGGAGATTGTAGAAGATTGGGATGTGGGCATGAGTCATGGCTTCCCCACTTTCCCTATGGCTGGCATGTCACTGATCATTCTGGGCTAAGTAACCTCGTGAAGGACTCAGACCTAGATCCTGGCAGAAGTAGGCACTATTACCCCAACATGTATGGTGTGTGTGTGTTCATTAGCATTCCCTCGCTGGAACTGGGAGGACCAGTTTGGGGTATTTGTAGAGTCCAGACAGCTGAGAGGCTGTCTTTGGCACTTGGTAACCCTACGGGCCCCAACCCTCATTCCACCTACCCTCAGGGTTCCCTGGCGCACTTCCAATGAACCTCTGGGTAATTAAGATCTAGGTCAGTTAGCCCTAGGCCCGTTCCTGGTTGTGCAGCAGGTGCAAATCCACTGAATTTCTTGGTCTCCTCACCTGTCAAAGGATTATCAGAATCAAACTAGGCAGCCCAGTGTATTACACAGAGGAGGCAAAACAAGTGGGTGTCCCTCCTCAAAGCCCATCCATGTCATCTCAACCAGGAAGTCATGGTCTCCTTGGAGATCTGAGATAACAGGAAAAGAGGCTCATAGTTCACAGGGTCTTGTGTGTATAGGAAAGGGAAAGAAAAGGGCAGTTAAATTATTTCCTAAAACAAGAGTCCTCCAGCATATAATTTTGTCCTCTTCTCCGTCTTCTTTGTACCCTGCCCCTGGCATGTTCATTCTCACCTGATTACACCGCTATGAAAAATACTGGGGCGTAGACACCAGGGTCCCCTAAGTTTGGCCCTGCATATAAAATCATATGTAACTAGTTAGGGCTGCCAGCAAAACCTGAGCCCAGAGAATCCAAAGGAACGTAGTCTGGAGGTTGAAGTGAGGGGCTGAGCCTGGGAAGAACGGAGGAGGGACACCACCCCAAGACAGACAGCAGAGAAGTGTGGACGACAAGAGCCAGGAGGGAGTCACGGACGTAGACCTACACTGACCATGTGCTGACCCTAAGCACTGTCAGCAGGGGCCAGGGTTTGGGTTTACTCAGGCCTGGCCCAGCCCCAGGGTGTGAGAAACAAGGCCCAGAGGTTTGGCTCTCAGAAGGGTGACCCCAGGAAGGGGCCAGGGGTGTGAGGGACAAGCACCACGCAGCTGGCGGAAGTCTCTGCTCTTTGCTGCTTGCCTGACCTGAACCCCCTTCCCCATCTCCATCCAAGACAAACAGCTGGAGGAAGGGGGCATTGTCCTATAGGCTTTGGGTTGCCAATTACCCATGAGTCTCCTCTCCATAAATGGGGCACTGGCAGAATTAGACAGGTGACATGGTTAGGAAAGCCACTGACCACCAGGGTTTAAACCTGCTCATCTGAGGAGGCTGGGGTGGTAAGCACTTAGTCTTGGGGACCCCCTGCCCCACAGGGATACAGGTATCCCAGGTACCCCGCACACTTGGGACTAGAGTGTGCAAGTATGCGTGCAGGAGAGGAAGAAAGCGTGCTGGGCCCGAGCTTTCCGTGGGTGTGCTTCTTGGGCCTGTGCCTGGCCAGTGAGCATGTATATACAGGTGTCCCCCAAAAATGTATACACACTTTAACAGGTAATTTCTATTACATTTTGAAAATGAAATGTATTTTAATAAACACTGCCTTTATAATATACCAAGTGTGTATACATTTGGGGGGGACACTTTGTATATACCTGACCATATATACCTGAGTTTGTAAGCAGATACTGCATATAATCGATCACCCCTCCAGTGTTTATCTTTAAACTCCTCCTCTCCCCTCGCTTGGCACCCTTGGCCATTGTGCCTCTACATTTATTTGTGGCCTTTCTCTGAGTCAAGCCTGCCTGCCTCTAGGACTAGCTGGAAAGCAGGGAAGGCAGAGGCAGTGTTTTGTTCTCTGCTCTGTCCTCAGAACCTAAAACCAGCCCCAGTTCATGAATGTTTGGATGAGCTGTTCTCTATGTGTGTGATTTGGGGGGTCTCTGAGCGGGGTTGCAGCTCTGGGGGAGATATGTTTCTCTAGGGTCCCAGAAGGAGATGCAGCTGTGCCTGGATGGGAGTAGGGAGGGTAGGCTGCTGAGTCATCTGTGGGAAGAGGGATCAGGAGGAACGTGGGGCTGCCCTCGGCTGAGCTGGCCCTGGACAAGGTACCCCAGCCCAGGGGCCTTACCCCCTCCCAGCTCAGGCCTATTCCCAGTCGGCCCTGGAGAAGATGACTCTGCTCCTACGGAGGAGAGAGAGGCCAGGCCCGCCCAAGGCGCCCAGGGAAGGGCAGGCAGCCAGGCAGGAAGTGGGACAGAACAGGCTGCAGTATTTGTTCTATGTCCCATGCCCCAGTCCGTGGGGGGAGGTGGTCACCCAAGGGCCTCACAGGAAGGGCCTGAACTGCCAGGAAGGAGCTGTGTCAGGCTCTCAGGCACAGCAGGGATGCTACGCAGAGGCAGCGGTGGGGGCAGGAGCTGGACTCCCTTTCCCCTCAGGGGACCAAGGGCAGCTTGAAGCCCCTGGGCTAGGTCCAGAGCAAGGCAGGACTGACAGAACAACAGGACTTTTATTCCCAGTAAGGTGGAGACTGTAGGCATCCTGACTCTGCAGAGGGGGCTCTCTCTGGGTCATAGCACCTCCAGGAGGAGAGCCACTCGAGTCAAGGGGACTTTGCTGTGGGGGAGGTGTCCAGGAGAGGCACAGTGCTGCCATCAGACTCCCACAATCACCTTACTAGGCCCTTCTACAAGTACTTCTCAAGGAGCCAAGTGCCCTGCCCAGTAGTGGAGGGGAGCCAGGCTTAGTGGGAGAGAGACGTGGGAAGCATGTGCCTTCTTGTTACGATGCAGGTTTCAGGGGCCCACTATAGTCTGACTGAGTCAGACCCTAAAATCTGGTTTTTAATAGGCCCCTTGGAGGCCTCTGAGGTCCAGGTAGGACCATGGTCACTGTAGCCCACGTGAGAACATGGCAAAGACCCTCAGGCCTGGAGGGACTGGAGCCTGTGTATTAGCCCCTGCTACTCACTGTCTTAATTCAGGGACACACATACACCTCCCAGCTGGGTTTGCACCTCCCAGTGATATCGTTGTACTTAACCCAATTATTAATTAACTGGAAAGGAACAAAGGGAAGACCGAGTATTTAGGCATGCCCAGTGAGGTCTGGGTGACATAGGAGAGGTGATTATCTGTCAGTCACACCCAGGAGCCAGGTCATTGGCCAGAATAGGCGTGGCCACTGTAAGGGCGCAAAATCTGAGATATATAATCTCCTAAACCAGCAGGTTCCCTCTCTTGCATGCTGGGCCCCTGGTCCAGTTGTTCAGGGGCACACCCCCCTATATTTGTCCACATGGCCCACAGCCTTGTGGACCCCACACAATGGACTAATGGACTGACGGACCGTGACTAGCCTGATGCTGTGCCGGACTTAACTCCACTGTGGAACGGAAACTGTGGACACTGGCTTTGCTTTGGCTCTGCTGAATCCCTGGTTGCACCTTTTCCTGGACTGGTTTAAGGGCTATGGGACTTTTGAAACCCAGGGATATAGTCCACGCAAGTAAAAATCACTCATTCTCCCATGCAAATCTTAGAAAATCCTTTTTCTCAAGATATCGTAAGAACCCGATCCCCAACACCCAGTGGGTAAAGGAATCCCCCACTTTCACCAGGTGGGTACCCCACTTCCACCAATAACACCAGCATTCTTTTTTTTTTCTTTTTCCCTTAACACTTCCTCCCAGGGTTTGAATGCTTGTGGCTACAGCTTATCACCCCACGGGGCTGTGAACTTCCTCGAAGGCAGGCGCTTCCTTCCATCTTCTCTCCATTCTCGTTCCTCATTTATGTTCATTAACTCGATGCATGTTTAGTGAGAACTTACAATGTGCCAAATGCTAGGCTAGGCTCTGAGGATATAGCATGCAGCAAGACTGACATGGTGCCCGAACCCAGAGAACACACGGTTAAAGGGGAAGAAGACTAGTGTCTAGGATATTATACTGCCCTGGGGAAGGCCTCAGAGTAGGGTACACACATGGCATCGTGTGGGTTGCATAGCATTGCATAGCAGAAGAGTCCAGGAAGTCTTTTCAAAAAAGCCTTATGTAATCTGAAACCTAAAGAACCGGTAAGTGCTAGCCAGGAGAAGACATAGTACATACAAAGGCAGTGCACATAGTAGGCACATGAAGGATTGCTAAAGGAATACTTGGCTACGGTGCAGCCCTTGTGGTGTGCCTCTCTGCCAGCACCCTGAGTAGGAGGTAGGAGGTCATGAGGTCTCCGTACCTACCCCTGCCACCTCTACCCCATCCCTGACAGCTGTTCTCTTTGCCCCCAGCTAGAGGACTGTGCCCTGCAAGTGTCTCCCTCTGGATACTACCTGGACCCTGAGCTGTCCCTGGAAGAGCAGCGGGAAATGCTGGAGGGCTTCTATGAAGAGATCAGGTCAGAGGTGGTGAGACCAGGAACATAAGGCTGGCCACACCCTTGCCCCCACCAGAGGCTGGCTCAGGTGTCAGCAGCCACGACACCTGATCTCTAGCCAAGGACACATGCAGGTCACCTCCTGCTGCCCCAGGGAACTGTGCCAGGGGAATCCCAAGGCCTGGCCAGTGTTACCTGCTACCCAGGATGGAGCAGGGGCTCTCCCACATATCTGAGATACCCGTATTTGCATAAATCCTTCTGTCTGGCCAACCCTGGGGCTTAGAGGAGCAGTTGGGGAGGAAGGAGCTGGGCCTCAGTTGGCATGTGGGGAGGTCTTTGGCTGCCTTGGTGTGGGGGAAGGGACCCCGCAGAATGAGCTGGGAGGTGCTGACTGTGCTGCTTGATTCCAGCAAAGGGCGGAAGCCGACATTGATCCTGCGGACCCAGCTCTCCGTGAGAGTCAATGCCATCTTAGGTGAGTGTGTGAGGGCATCAATGTCCAGCCCAGCTGGCTCAGTTTCTTTCAGGCATGTACTGGACAGTGGACAGGACAGATCAGAGATAGAATATGTGGCTGCTCCCCATTCCTATCCTGACCTTTCCTTCTAGGGCCAAGGCTAATGCTGCAGATAGACTGTAGTGGGGGCTGCCCAGAGCCAGGGAGTAAGTAGAGGAGGAGGTGGGGGGGTCCAAGAATACTAGAATATTCTCTGAGGTTGCCCATGTCCCCTTGAGGTTACTATGTCCATCCACCCCTTGCAGAAAAATTATATGGCTCCAGTGGCCCTGAGCTCCGCCGCTCTCTCTTCTCACTAAAGCAGATCTTCCAGGTGAGGCCCTGAGGTGGGCTGGGGGTGGGCATCCTAGCCTCAGCCCCCTTAAACTCCCCCATGGTGCCCCCAGGAGGACAAGGACCTGGTGCCTGAATTTGTGCACTCAGAGGGGCTGAGTTGCCTGATCCGTGTGGGTGCTGCTGCTGACCACAACTACCAGAGCTACATCCTCCGAGGTCAGCCCCACTCCTCCCCCAGGACCCTTGCTTTCAATGACCCCTTACTGATCTCTTGTTTCTGTGTCCTCAGCACTGGGCCAGGTGATGCTTTTTGTGGATGGGATGCTGGGAGTGGTGGCCCACTCTGAGACCGTGCAGTGGCTGTACATGTTGTGTGCCAGCCTGGTAAATGGCCCTCCCCCCAGCCATGCACCCTTTTCCCACTGCCTCTCTCTGGGCATCGATTTTCTCTCCTATAAAATGGGCAAGAATGGAGTGAGTCTGTGGCCCCTCTAAGCCTAAAAGCACTTCAATGCCTGGGCCGACAGCCAGGGTCTTTTTGTTGAGACTCTCCTGTCTGGGTCCAGCCCCGGGAGCCCTTCCCCCACTGCACTAGGAGCTGGCCCAGCTCTGGCCCAAGCCCCACTCATATGTGGTTATCCCTCCCCTAGTCCCGCTTGGTGGTGAAGACGGCTCTGAAGCTGCTGCTGGTGTTTGTGGAATACTCTGAGAGCAATGCACCGCTGTTCATCTACGCAGTCAACTCTGTGGCCAGCACCACCGGTCAGAGACTGTCCCTCCCTCCCCACCGCTCAGAGCCCTCTCCTACCTTCCTCCTCATGACTGCTCCCCATTCTGTGTGGCAGGTGCTCTGCCATGGGCCAACCTGGTGTGCATCCTAGAGGAGAAGAATGGTGCAGACCCTGAGCTGCTGGTGTACACAGTCACCCTCATCAACAAGGTGTGTGTGGAGGGGGAACCAAAGGCCAGGTATGAGCCCTTCAGGCTCCTGCCTTCAGGCTCCCATGAGCCTTAGCCTCCTATCCCCAACCTCCAGACGCTGGCAGCGCTCCCAGATCAGGACTCCTTCTATGACGTGACGGATGCACTGGAGCAGCAGGGCATGGAGGCACTGGTCCAGCGGCACTTGGGCGCTGCGGGCACTGACATCGACTTACGTGCACAGCTTGTGCTCTATGAGGTGGGCTCTGGGCTGGGCCGCCAGGGCCCAACAGGGAATCAGAAGAAGGGAGGGAGGGGGGCACAGTTTCCCAGCACCCACCCTACCTCAGTTGCTCACATCTGGACCCATGTCTGCTAGAGTGCCCTGCGGATGGAGGATGGAGACATCGAGGAAGCCGCCGCAGGTGGGCGGCGGGAGCGTAGAAAGCCCTCTTCAGAGGAAGGCAAGAGGAGCCGCCGATCTCTAGAAGGCGGGGCCTGCCATGTGCGCACCTCGGAGCCTGGGTAAGAACATGCCTCAGCACTTGGGGAAGAGGGATGGATGCACCAGGAGTAACCTGTCTCCTGACAGACCCCGCCTCCAGCCCCACAGGGCCCTCCTCCTCCTCCTCCAGCCCTGACCCACTCACAAGCCCAGTGCACAGCCCCATGGGCCCTGCCTCTGGCCTCTGTACCTCTGCGAACCTCTTTCCTGCCCTCTCTGTGGCGTCCTCAGCTGACAGCTCCTGTGAGAGGAGCATCTACAAGTAAGTAGGGCGATAGAGGCTACCCCCCTGGAATCCTCTCCCCACCTGTCCCTCCTGCTCTGCTCCCCTCCATGGACCCTCGGCCTCCTCTGCCCAAACGCGTGCTTTCTCTCTCTTTCTTTCCAGACTTCACCAAACTGCTCCTATTTGGTAAGTGACTGCTGGGGGGGTGGGGTTCGGCTCTGACCGGACCGCCTCCCCCTGGGGCTTCTCTTCATCTCCTTCTGGCATTACGTCTGGTCTTGGCCAATGTTATCTGTCTCCCTGACCCCTACTGTCTTTGTTTCTCTGGCACTGTCTCTGACTCTTGTTCTGCTCTTTGTCTCTTACTGCACCCTGTCCGGCTTCATGTCAGTCTCTCCCCTCCACTTACCGTTTCCTCTCGTCATGCCCTCCCCAACCCCCTCCTCTTCCCACTGTGGCTGGGAAGGAATCCCTGATAGCACTGCCCAGGTCTGAGTAGGTGTGAGCACTGGGCTTCCAGGTGGAGCAGACACCACAGTTACTATTTCTTCTCTCATCCCCCTCCACCCCCACCCAGCGCCCCTGAGAGCCCACCTGTCCCCCAGCCCCCTACTGGGCAGGCCAGGCTGGAGTAAGTAGAGGCCAGCTTGCCAGGCCTGCCATGTGCTCAGGGCTTCAGCATTGCTTCTCCCAGCGGGGCTCCACTCGCCTGATGCAGCCAGAGCTCGGGGACTCTCGGGCCCCTTTTCTCCCAGACTTCTGCCTCCTCGGTTACCTAAGGACTAAGGATTGGGATTAGTTCCCTGAGGTCATAGTGGTCCCTGTGCTTCCATAATGATACCTTGGTAGCTTTGCCTAGAGATGAGGACATGAACTCCCAACCTGGAACCCATTCTCCCAGGCATAGGCCAGGAATAGGGCGGGAAGGGCAATTAGGGGGCTGTGCAGTGTGGAGGTAGAGCAACAACCTAGGGCTAAGATAAGGGCCGGGACTGAGGGCCACTGGAGGCTAGAGGGGCCCAGAAAGAGACATTGGATCACTCATTATTTCAACATAAACTGAGTGCCTGTCTCTACCAGGCCCCTTTCTGGGCATAGGTCATGGTTCTCAGAAGCTGCAGACATGCCACGGGAGGGATGTGCCCATTGGCACAGCTATCCCCTTCCCCTGCTCTAAGGGTCCTGGTCTAGAATCAGGAAAATTAACATGAATAGCAAGGTTGCAAGTTAGACATTAAGTAGAACTTCTCTCTGTACGTTGACCTGGAATGCTGGGTTGGAAGTGACTCTCCCCAGATGTGGAGGATTGAACAGGGGCTGGACTTGGGGGATCGGGTCCTGGGTCTGCTTGGCGCATGGTCTGTTCCTGTGTGTCTGTGTGTGCCTGCAATTAGGGGCAGTGCCCAGGGGACCAGCATGTGCACCACCCTGGGCTGGGGTGTGTCAGACAGCCTCACTGACAAGTGCCTCCCCCCAGAGCCCGGTTCCTGGAGAATGTGGCAGCAGCAGAAACAGAGAAGCAGGCTGCGCTGGCCCAGGGCCGGGCAGAGGCCTTGGCTGGGGCAGTGCCCGATGAGGCTGATGGACACCCAGGTGAGCGGGTGGGTGGGCAGAATCTACCCATGTCTCCTTGTTGCACCACAGAGGGCATGACACTGACAGCTGCTTCTCTTTTTTTAGATGCCCGCGAACTGTGGAGTTCCCCTGAACCGGTCCCAGTTTCTGTACCCAAAACACCCCAGAGCCCTGCCCCCCGAGTCCTGCTCAGGTCCCAGAGGAGCCTTGAGCCAGAGCCCAAGGAGCCACTGGCTCCACCAAGCCCCAAGGCCGAGCCCACCCAGAAGTTCTCTACCCATGTACCCAAGCTCTGCATTGGGGACCTGGACTTCTCAGATCTGAGGGAGGACGAAGACCAGGACATACTGAACATAGAGACTGTAGAGGCTGGGAAAGGGGTCCCGCCCCCACCACCCCCACTGCCCTTGCTC